AAGGGTTACATTCCTCATGTTTGGTTCATTACCAGTTAATTCGGAAACCTAGAAGAGTCACCGCATTCATCACCTGCATAATCTGTCCTGTTGTACATGTCTGGGAGATTGTTTGCTTTGTCGGCTTCACTGTAAAGATACAGAGCTGAAGTCAAACTGGAAAGTGGGTTTCATGTACGGGAAGAGCTAAAAAACTATTTAAAAATCAGACTTAATTCATACGAATGCAACTGACTAAATATCAGTCCTCTGCTTTACAGTATGTGTGACTCAGATTTAATGTTTTAGGCCATAAGCAGACCTAGTCAGATTATTTTATATTGGATCTGGACCTCTTGCATGTATGGTCCTCGATCTGATTGCGATTCAGTCTCTGGTCATGTGACCACGGTCTCACTGTCAGCATCTCGTGTGTTTGCGGAAATTACTGTCATTAGTCTTACACATATATAATAGTACAGCAAGCCGTGGCTCTATGGCAGCAGCAGTGTGCTGGAGCAGGTCGTCCACTAATTGCAAGGTTGGCGGTTCAAACCCCTCCTCCACAGTCTAAGTGTCCTTGGGCAAGACACTGAACCTGAAGTTGCTCCCAATAACAGGCAGCACCTTGCACAGCAGCTCTGTGTGTGTGAATGGGTGAATGAGAAACACATTGTAAAGGGTACCACTGAGGTAGAAAAGTGTAATGCAGACCATTTACCATTGACTTTTGACGTCTCTTAATAGAATTGGTGCAGTTCAAGTATATTTGTTTGCTTTCTGACACAGGCTTATTTCTTCAGACTCGATGGAGTTTAGGTCAGGATGGTTGGTTTGGTGTTTTTGTCTCAGTCAGATGAGCAGAACAGTGTTCATGATAAGTTAAAGTATACATTTGAATTATAATTCAAGTCACAACACAGCCCAATGTGATGAGAATTTACAGATGTTGTACATTCTTATTGTTTATTTAACACACATGCAGTGTTAAATATAAAATAGTTGTTGTACACTTAACATACAATAAAGAGTGACACATTAATAGTGAGTGATATGTATATGGTACAGATAGATTTATCTGTTCTGCTGGTGGTTTGTATGGTTCGTACAGCTGTGTGTCACCTCTTACGTCTTATGTCATGGGTGCGGTGAGGATACACCTGTGCATCCAGGGTGAAATGAGTGAATTGAGATGAGTCTACAGTGTCTCATTGGAGCGTAAACAAGCTTTAGCTGCAAAGAACCCACAGACAGATGACAATTATTCTGCATTACAAACTGCAACAGGCAAAGTGAAAGGCATAATATGAGGGCAAAGTAGTATATTCCAGTTGTATTCATCCTGCATGAAGCGGTATGTACTTGTAAGGGTAGGTTAGGTATGCATTAAAAGTTAAAAGAAAAGTTTTGTGATATGGGACAAAGCCATGTTCCTTGTTGACCCATTGACTCACACATCAGTGGTGGCCACGCAACGTGCTGACTTCCTATCAGGAGCAACTGGTATTCAACATGTGGCCCACTGACATGTGGAGAAGCCGGGGATTGAGCCACCACTTGTGCATTTAGGAGAGGAAACACTCTACCGGCAAAGACCCCGAAGACCACACAGCCACAGGAGGCAAAAGTCAGGCACAAGCATCACACATACAGGAAGGAACAAACACCCAGAAGGAGAGAGGCAAGTGGTTTTGTCAAAATGACATGAAGAAAGCATCCTCACTACAGCACTTTAAGTTTTGTTTTTTGGTTTTTTAAATTCTATCATTTATAGATTACAAGTCAGAGTCAGTGCAAGCACCCCAGTGAAAATCTAACACCTTGTGAGTTCACAATAACGCATTAGTTCCTCTCCTCCGCCCTCTCTGATGAGGATGTGGTAAATAGGTGGTAGGAAGACTTGCTTCCAAACAAGGTGTCATTAGAAGATGGAAAGAATGCAAAATATTTTTACTTTAGTGGTAGAACCATCTAATTAGTTCCAAAAGAATTCATATTTTGTTTTGTTTTTTTAAATAATATTTCAATAATTGCCTGTAGCAAGTCATAGCAATTGCAGTAAAGGTTGCTGGTTAAAGACAGGCTCTGTTGACACTACCGCATAGAGAGACCCATACAGCACAAGCTGGTTTGATAAAGCGGCGGTTAATAAAGTTGGATATTTGTGCACATCTTGGATATACAGTAGATGCTGCATATTGGAAAACATGATAGAAAGATGTGACAGCAGTGAAGTAAAGAGCAGTCTGAGTCATTATTGGCACCTTAAGCGGTGGGACTCACAGTTTTGCATGATAGTGATCAAAGTGTAGGTATACCGAGCAACAGGTGTGAAAGGTTCTGTGACTCTTACATGGTATTACATGATATCACTTCCTGATATGGCAAGACAGCCTACACTATGTGAAAGAGGTGTCCATTTAGACTTCTACTCAGTTGAAATGTCTCTTTTGTACCTTCAGATCACACATTATGTGATGGCTGGAAATAAACAGTTTGGATCCAATTTGCTCTGAGCTTCCTGACTGTCAGTTTTCAATAAGTAATTCAGTGATGGTACGGTTGAAAATAATAATAATAATAACTTAAGAGTCACCATGTCCACCACTATACACTGTGTATGCGGCCTGTAGTCCAGTTTAGCCAGTAAATGTTATGTAATGACGTACACAATGCTGTGTGACTGATTTTAAATTGTTTGACTTTGATATTGTTGTAACAAAAAACGGCAGAGAGACGCACCCTGACAGTCTCTGCTCATGCCACGTGTTTAAAAGGGAATGTGGTGAAACTGCATTCTTATCATACTGTAGTGCAGAGTAGAGACACATTAAGCCCACAATTTAGTTCTTGTTGCAAACATACACACAAAGGGAAGACCGAATACAGATAATGTCTGCTGTGAAAACAGCTATATTGTATAATTTTATGATGGAGGAGCCAGTTACATCGGCTCAGCTCAGTGTAGCTCCAAAAGACACAGCAAACATTTTGCAGAGCGTTTACTTCTGGGAGGGCTCCACCAGAAATTGGACATAAAGTAGTTGAGTAAACGATGTAACTTCTTTCCACCATTTTTTTATGGGGCCAGATTGCTTTATTTGGTACAGTTGCTCATTAAAAGCACATCTGAAACCTTCTTCATGGTGATGTACGAGAAATATTAAGTAACACAACCCTGTGTTTCTCATATTAGAACTTCATTTCTGGTTGGAATAAATGTAACACTCCCTTTTAAATTTGAATGTCAGCTGACTAACTTCTTATTTGTATGCCACCAAACAATCGTGGGTGGAGCACCATTGTGCCAAAATAGCCAAATAGTTGTGCCATTAAGTAAAACACTTGTTTCTTTCTTTCATCTGGTCCAGGAGATATCAGTTGTTTTACCAAATCTTCAGTGAGAGAGCCTGTCGTCTTCTCATGACACTCTGCAAACATTATGCACAAAATGGCATCACGAAGCTCATTCAATGTGCCCATAAACAAGAATTATGTGTTTGAGAACAGTGGCAACAAATAAAATAACGCTACAAAGAAAATGACAAAATAAATAACTGAGATTAAAGCAAAAATCATCTCAGATATCCTTCCTGTCCTCATTAGTTAATGTGTTAAGGCTTGAAACAGTCAGCGGCCACTGGTCCTTGTGCAATAAGTCGGGTTGGTTAAGAAGTACCTGAGGCATGCTTGGTATCTGGATCAGCTCAGGCATTCTGCCCTGCAGCAACACAGTGGAATGACGAATGTAATAAAATTAACTTTGTGCCTATCCATCTTCTTTGACAAACGTGTCACAATTATCACTGACTTTAAAGATAAAGCTTGTATAAGAAGAAAGGTCAGACATCTCTCTTCTTCCTGGTCCTTTACATACTCTATCAATACAACGATGTCAAAAGTTCTGCATTCAAAGGTGAAGTTTAGCACAGTGGTTGCCAACCTGGAGGCCGGCCTGTTCCTAGAAATCAGAGGACACATCTGAGGGGTCATGCGAGGACTGATGAGTTGGGAAAGAAGAAAAACATTTCCACACACAATTGGAGGCATTTTCAATTATGTGTTTTGTTTTGTTTTTTACATGAATTATTCAATAATTTAGCCTCTTTGAAGTTCATCATATTAATGAAACCAGGTGAGAAGTTTAGAGTTGAAATATCACTCTGGTGACAATGCAAAGAACTCAGACATCTGAACGCACCATTTAGAAGGATGTAAAACAGAAAACTACATCTTCATATTGGGAAACTTGAGGAAGAGTTGATAAGAGTGAAAAAAAAATAAAAAATCAGAGCCCTGGTTCTGAGTGGTGAAGTGTGCATTATTGAGCATTCAGCCTTCTGACAGTACAGCCCTACTCTGCAAAGAATTCATCAGCTGCATGGAGTTACATATTTGTCAGGTTTTTATTGTTTTAAATTTTCATTTAAAAGCAAATTTCTGAAAAAACCTGCTCACAACTTTCCACTGCCTGCAATCCACAGCAGAATCTTAAGCCCCCGCTTTATTTTAGGGGTCATGATGTAAAACGGTTGCGAAGCAGCACCTCATATCAGCTTATCAGAGGAAACACTTTGATCTGATATGAAGCTTACATTGCTACCAAGAGGCAGGTGGAGGCTGACATAAATCAACACTGCAATCAGCATCACAAAAACACAGCTTAGGAGGGATTTTCTCTCCACATAAGATGTACATAACAGCGTTCTTAAATTGGCCCCAGGGGACAAATAAAGTTTTTTGATTTGAGTTGAACTGAATAGATTAATGTGCTTCTAAGCGCTTAAAGCCTGTGTACAGACCGGCAGGTGAAGATACTCAACATTGTTCTGAAGACATAAGAAGCCAGTAGTCTTGCCACCAAATTCCTCTGTTGCATGCAGGTAACTCATCTTCACCACACACGCAAATATGCTTTGTGCATTTTTACACCACCTTACTACGCTGACACCTGCTTTGCTCTGTTAAAGTGACAGACAATAACAAGCCAAAGTCCAGAACACACACAGGATACACCTGGATCAGAAGATAGTTGCTTTATTTGAAAGTATACAGTAACAAGCAGCAGGTCAAAGAGATTTAGTAGTGAGATCATCAACATACATAGTATGTTTAAAAGTTGTGCTCCAGTAGCAGAGCGCTCAGTCTATGGAGTCAGAGCACTTTTTAGAAGCTGCTGATTAAGTTCATGTCGGCCAAGGTCAGCTGGCCAGGAGGTTGTCTTTGACTGGAGACATGGGCTCTCCTTTCTTACAGGGAGTCATCTTCTGGTTGTCTCTGAAAACACAAAAGTGGAGGTTTCACAGCTGTTTTAATGGAAACTACGTCACTGCTCAAAGTTACAGACTTATCACAGTCATAACATTCCACATGTAGGTTGGAGTGAGTCTGTGACCTAAAACACTTCCTCTTTCCTTTTGACAGCATCCTTTAACAATGTGAAAAATGTGGTTTCAGCCGTAGTTGGGCTCAGAAATCTTCTACATTATGACTGTGTTATCATCTTGCAGGCTTACCTGGGGATAAAAAACATTCCTTGATATTTTGGATTTTTCCAAAAGAATTGTGACCAAAGTTTTGCAACAAGCAAAAAGCCCACATGTTGCTCAGATCACAGCAGGATTGAAAGCACATTTAGAAAAGGTTTACCTGCTGTAACTCGCTTTATTTATGCTTAATAACTGCCCTTAATGTGTCCTTTAGTGTGCTGTTTGATTCCCAGCTGACTTAAACCTTCATTGCATGCCCTCTGCTGCTCACTCTACCCATATTTCCTGTCTCTCCACTGTCATGATTTTTTGAGATCAAAAAGCCTAAAGAATATTGAAAAAATAAACATATATATAACGTTACAATCTGAGTCCGGTTCATAAGCTGTCCTCACTTAAATACAATCCAGAAACGTTTGTTAAATCATGTCAACGAATGCTTTTTCCAGCTGCTTTCTGTGGCAGCTGATATCACACATTTAGTCCACTTTATACAACAACTAAACTAAAAGTGACTGACTAATAAGAGAAACTAATTAAACGCATTTGTTTTGATCAGAGTAGCAAAACCAACATGTAATAAAATAGGCTGTAAATAAGTATGACTTTGCGACAGCTTAAAACAAACAAATATGACTGAACTGAGAACCAGACCTGTTATTCTGTCATGTAGTAACATGTAGTGAGCAAAAAATAGTGCAATTTTTTTTTCCATTTTCATAATATTCCATGATGCTGAATAAACAACTTGAAATCCAAATTTTCAGGTTCAAGTAAAAAAAATGTGATAAAAATGACATATTTGATCTGTAACTTGAGCCTGTCTCTCTTACTTTTTAAAGCTGAAGTTCTTCCAGAGGCTACTGATTGTGGCCTGAACACCAGGGTTGTTCTCGTTATTGGGGGCAGAGAGTTTCTTCACAGAACCACCAGACTTCTTCCTGAGTCCGCTGGCCCTGGCTGGGCCCAACGCTCGGACCTTCGCCGCTTGAGCCTGGCTGCTGGAACTCAGTTTTGACAAACCAGAAACCTTGGCAGAGAAAGACCACATAGAGGAGACCAGAATAAATACAGGGTGATGTGCACACAATGTTTACAGTTTAACAAAAAATAACTTACATTTTTATTTCATCTTAATAATTTTAACTCAAAGATGAGAAGATCAGTACCAACCTACAGCTGTGACATGGAGTGACAACTAGACAAGTGAAAGTTCACAAAGATTGGAAGTCAGCAGAAACAAGTGAGAATAAATCCTCTGAGTAACACCTCTAAAGCCAACTTATAAAAGTTGCTTGCCTAATGCACAAACAGAACTATAAAACCTTTGTAGTTCAAGAGTACGTTTTGTGCTGTAACCAGATGTATTTTTTTGTGAACGGCAGTCAGGTGCTCTGGTTGTGCCTTGCCAAGAAACTGGTAAACCTGGAGTTTCCAGATGTGCCATCACTGTGCCTGTCCAGAGATCTCCACCCAACCTGTCATCACTGACTGGATCTTGAAACGTGCACTACAGCCAGGGATGCGGCACAGGCGTACTGAGCAGTCGGTAATAAACAGTTCCAGTGCATAACAGCAAGTATCTCTTTGGTCAGACACCAGCAACCATGACAAAGACAGCTGAAATCACAAAAATCAATAGCAGTATCCTGTATCCTTATTGAACAAACCCAATTATGAATGGCGTTCCCTGCTATTGCATGCTGTTAATAACTTTTAATGGATATCGGTTCCATATCAACCAGCTAGCAATGTGGTAGCACCATGTTGGGCTTGTTTTTTCTTGGTGTAATGAGCGGCTGTCTTGGAGATCTTCAGTTTTTTCGCTACCTGTCTCTCACTCATGCCAATTTCCAGCAGTGCCAAGATGGCTGCCTTTGTGGCTTCACATAATCCTTTTGTTTTAGACATTATGTGGGAGCTGACAACTTCTGAGTTGTGCTACAGCTTGAATGTAAGCAGGAAACCACTCTAGGCCTTCGCATGTGCAGTGCTGCTTATCATATGAAATGGCCTCTTATATATCCTGAGAATACAATTAAGCTTAAGCATGTCAATAGGACATAAAGTATTATGTAATCAGATGCATTTTTTGTCATGTTAATTGTTTTCTTCAGGTAATATACCTTTAGTTGTACCAGGCATTAAAATGAACAAGAAATTGAAGAAAACAAGGGCGGTCTTATAATCTTCTCCATGACTGTATATAATTCAGGCCAATCAGAAATGGTCCAGCAGAAATTGTTCAATGATCTCAAAAACTCTGAAAATAGTTTTCTTCAGTGAAGTCCTTTATACCTTTGAACTGACTGGTTCTAAAGTGGTTGTGGCATCCTAACAAGACATCACCTCCTCATTCTCATGGGCAGTTTTTATTATTTATTCATGAAACTGCGACCACTACGTATTTGGGAACCTATTTATTTAGATTATTTCATTAGTTTTGGGGTTATTTCATTGTGTAAACATGAGTTTTAACTTGATAACAGATATAATGGATATATTGAGTCAGTGACCATCACTCCTCGTGAGAATACGCCTACTTCAGTTGAGTGGCATCTGCTTACATTTTGAAATTCAACAAGTGCAGAAGAGGACAGAAATACGCAGAAAACTGCTGGGTACAGTTGTTTTGAGAGTTTACTTTTAAGTAAGCGCGTATGTTGTGTAACGCTCCTGTTGAAGATCACTTCAAAGATTTAGAGCATCCTCAGAGAGAGGAAACAACTTCAGAACTTTTGGTTGAAGAGTTCAGACAACGGCTGATAACCGCTCTCTCTTTTGCAGCAAATATAAAAAAAGCTTTGCTGTAAAGAAGATCACATTAAGAGTGTATGGCTATGATGTCGATATTTTAAAATTTACTTGTCTGTCATGGAGGAAATTAACAATACAAACTCAATCCTATGCTGCTAAAGAACTTTAATATTCATGCTAATGAAACCTGAATACTTGCCATAATATACATATAAAAAACTGTTGAACATAACGACAGAAAAATCCCACCTTTGATCTCAGCATGCCAGGTTTCCTATCTGCTCCAGTTGAGTGTGGGGGACTATCTGGCTCTGAACATTTGCTTGAATTCATTTCCTGAGGAAACACATGAAAGATACACATAAGAACACAAAGCTGTGCTACCAAAACACCAGTTCTGCACACCCACTCATGAGGCATGAAACTCTGATGATGAAGTATTTGTAACGGCTGACTTAACCACAATGGATCTATAGACATTTGAAAAGGTGGCAGAGACGTACAGATAAAACATCCTCCTCGTAGGAGGAGGAGAGGATGTGGGTGGGGGGTTCCTCTTTGTGGAAGGAAGTGTGGCAAGGCTGTGACTGGGAGAAGTAAGCACTGTCCTGAGAGGGAGGAGAGTCTGGAAGGTCATCCCCGTCCTTCGATTTTCTGTCAGGGGAGGACTGCTGATGGGGAGACGAGTCTCTAGAGGATCTGTAAGTCTTTGGAGAAGAGGAAAAACCGTCTTTCTTATACTGGAACTGCTGCAGTGCAGCCAGGCCCGAGGATGATTTTGGCGTTTCTGATGGTTTGGATAGAGAGGAGCTGCCTGACCAGCTGAACAGCCTGAGGCCCTGACTGGCTGAAGTGGGGGACAAAGTGCTAGATGACAGAGGTGGGCTAGGGGTTTCCACAGATGGAACATCGGGGCCATCACTGTCTTGGGTCTGGATGCTGGCTGAAGTCTCGTTTAGAGCTGGATCCACAGCTATGGGCTTCACAGCCTGAAGTAAATCCTCCTGGACAGACTCTGCAGTGCTCAGACTGGCTTCTGAGTTGGAACTGCTGAAGAACCTGCATGTGGGAATAAACACAGTCACATCAGGATCACACACAGGCTCCCCTTACCACTGCCTGATAATACAGTTATTGGCTATTGTTTTTGCATATATAGTCATTACAGCTCTTGTGCTTATTTTCTGTTTCAAAGAGTGAATTAAGAAGATAAGTGTCAAACTCATATCTGTGTGTCAAGTATGGATGCAGTTAGCTAAACTCAGCATAACAACTGGAAGCAGGGGGAACCAGCCAGCCTGAAACCTTGTCCATTAACACTAAAACAGAAACATAGTGCTGAAACTATTTCTTGACTAACGACAATATATTTACACACCCACACTTACTTACTTAATTTGTGGCTTTATAGGTAACGCCTGTATAGGCACAATGAAACCAAGCCTGGCAACACCACTGTAACAACAACACTTCAAGAATCCATGCATGCAGCTGTTGTGTTGTAAAGAAATAGTCCCACCATGCAGGTATTTTTTAAATTTCTGCTTGTGTGTGGTCTAAACAAATTGGATATTTGTTAAAGCTGCAGTAGGAAGAAGTCTGGAAAAGGAAAAAAAAAGATTTTAAAGAGCATGAAAACCTACAGTCCTCCTGCAGTTCTTCCCGCTCTGTTCGAAGCCCCTTCCACCACTTAAGATTAGAGTCAATATCCACTTGAAGCTCCCCAAAACATTTGAACCCCACCCTCCTGAGTAAAAGTCCTCGGTTTAAACCACTGCGCTACCATGTCCCATTTGGCTATCCTATGCTTTCCACATGTCTGCAAGGGTACACATGACCTAATTTCATCCCCCAACAAAGTCTGTGGAGCCCAAAATTTGTACCTGTGTTGACTGTCTACACTCCAAGTGCACCAACTGCACATTTGCCAGAAAAACAAGTGATGCTTCAAACATAAGTTTGGAGGAGAGACACAATGATGGAGATTCCCCATCATCCACACCTTCATAATTCATCAATGAAGAGTTCTACCTGAAGTCGTCACTGCTCGACGTTGGAGGAGCTTTAGTTTGTACATGCTGTCATGTGGTTGGTTCTTTCAGTCTGTCTATGCTTTTTGGAAAGAAGCTGGGGTTTATTTTTTAGATATTTTGGACCTGCAATCTTATTTCCCTTTTGATTTTTGGAAAAATTTAATGTAAAATTGACTTTCACCCTTTGACATAAAAGGAAAACAAGGCATATATACTGGGAAACTGGGGACTGCTCGAATCACAGGGACTTTCAGCAGTTTTTCTTTTTTTTTCTCTCTGAATGATTTTAAGTGCATGATGAACTGCAGTTGTATTTTTTTCCCCTTTTATTGACTATTCAGATCTGGTCTGTTTTGTCTCCATACAAAATCTGATCTAAAACAGCTCTTCATCAAAAAACAACAAGCAATGCATTCACAAAACATCAAGTTCACTATACTTTGCATTACTGATGGTAGGATGATATGTAAAATGTTTCAAGCAGCCACTGTCAGTCCAACAACCAGCGAGTGGCAATATATTTATAGAAGTGTATGTGTGACACGCAGCAAGTTCACTGAAATCACAAAGATTTGTTGGATTGTAAACTGGCTGGATAAAGCAAACAATGCAAGTTGCTGTCTTTGCAAATGTACAGTATCAACGAAGGACCTCAACACTACCAGTAAATCACCTTGAGATCACAGACAGGCTGATCAGCTGAGACAGAATCTGAACAAGTCATGTTTACAGCCTTTAAATGAACCAACAGGTAGGACAACATGTACTGCTAAATTATCAGGGTGCACATACAGCTTTGGGTCTGTTCCTCAAATCTGATTTATGAATTGATGCTGTTTTTTTTTAGCAACAACCAATCGGACAGCAACCATCTGGAAAATCTGACAGCTACACTATTTTATCAACTACACCACTCATGTCACAACATGTGTCACTTTTTCTGGTGTGACCCGGCTTTAAATATGATTGTAGAAGACTTTGCTTTCGTTTTGCACACAGCCAGGATACAGTTTGCCCTGCCTCCAGTCCTTATGCTAAGCCAGACTAACCACATCCTGACCAGGCTGATACTGACGTGAGATTTTCAAATATCAACAGAAACCAACTGTTTCCATTTGTCTGAATCTATCAGTGTGTGGATTATTAACCATAATGTACAACATTTATAAAAACACATTTATTTAGAGACACAATAGTTCTCTTCTATACAGTACGAGTAGACTGCTGTGCTGTTTGCCAGTAGAGCTGGTCCGAATAGCAATTTCTGATATTTGGGGTTTCGGGAGACAGATACCACCACCACATTTGGATATTCAGGTCCAGCCCTGCTTGCCAGGACTACTCCTATGTCTCTACATTAGTCAGGAACAGGTCTCATAAGGGGACGATCATTAGATGTGACAGAAGCATGGTGACGTCACCTGCTTCGGGTGGGCTGACCGTCCTCCTGAGCTTCCTGATTCCTCTTCTGCAGCAGCGTGGCGAAGCGATTGCGTGGCCGGGGCGGGCTGGTCAATGCGGGCTCATCTGCTTGCTGGTTTGTCTTGCATCTCTTCTGACTTGAACAGGAATATTGCTGCAGCACATCCTGGTCTGACATACTAGAGTCTACAGGAAGACAAAAACAATAAGCTCAGACTAAAATGTTTTCCGTAACACTGGATATACTGTAAAGAAATGATCTTTTATTATTCCTTTATTTTTACATTCTAATTGATTACTTTTTTCCGCTATTTTGGGACTCATCATTTGGAGGATGACAGTTGTTTTGCATTTGTTTTCCCTGCTGTTGTGCGCTGTCCATTTTAGTGTGGTGTCTGGATGTGACTGACTGTGATTGTGTTTTCTGTGTTTTTGTGCTTCTTGCCTGCCTGCAGAGCAAAAAGCTGTACGCATGAATATTTTCTACATTACAGTGACGTTTAGCTAATAGCATCACCTCCACCAGTACATACTGTTTGAGTAAGTTTAATTTATAACAAAACATTTTTCAGAAATATGTAAAGTAACTAATAATTAAAGCTGTGAAATGAATGTAGTAATTATTATAATGTAGTCAGCAACGTGGGGAAATATATACTACAATACAGTAGAACAGAAGTAAAAATTGACATAAAATCTAAATACTTAAACACAGAACAATACCTCAAGTAGTTAGCACTGAAGTACAGTACTTGAGAAAATGTTTAGTTACATTCGACCGGTGATCAACAGAAGCACAGTAGGTGCAGCTCACCCTCTCTGGGCCTCTTCACCTGCAGCTCTCTACAAGACAGCCTCAGGCCATCCAAGCTGGCGACTCTCTCCTTCCCCCTGGTGGACGGAGGTCTGTCTGTAAAAGTAGCAGGCTGGGGAGGGCCAGCAGAGGCCGGTGTGAAGCCTTTGCTCCAGATACTGGACCCTGTGGAGACCGGCGAGTCATTCCAGCTGTGACTGCGGGGCTTACATAGCTGAAAGAACATTTGCAGATTTCTAGATTAAATGCAAGACTTAATTCTGAGCATCTCGACTCCTTTATTTGACTGTGCTCTGGTACCTTTGGAATGGGTTTGTCAGGGTTGAAGTCGTCTATTCTCTCCATGGTGTTGATGTCAAGGTTTCCCAGGGCCATCTGCAAGCCTTTGTCATCCCCTAGATTACTGAATTCAGCACCGTCAAGGATAGAATACAGAGCAGGTTATGATATGTAACAAATTGCAATTAAATATAACCAGAGGTGGTAGTATATCAGGTGTGATTCAGGACAGGAGGATACAGTCCAGCATAACTGAGGGTGGCAGGGTCAATGTGCTCTGGGTAAGGGTTCAGGGGTACAACCTTCCTCCTGATAGGATCAAACACCAGCTGGTAAAGGAAGGTGTTATTGGCTCTGGTGAATCCCTCGATGTACTGGTCAGGGACGACGAGATTCATCTTTAGGTACTGGCCCATCTTTCTGATCACCTGATGAGAAGATGACAGCTCACAGTAAACGGATTGCAAGGTTTGCTCAAATAGTTAAATGTTGTAAAATAAAAAGACATGCATTTGGTGAATATTTGAACAAAAATACCAACAGTTTGCTATGACAGTTACTACGAATACACATTATGTGTTTTTAGCATAGTACAGCAACAATGCATATTGTTACACTTTATGTTTTCTATACTCTAACATGTAAACTTTCACACAGGGGATTTTTGGCTGTGGAATAGTTGTTTTGTCCATTGTATCATTTAACATTAATGCATTTGGTAGTTTAACTGTTAACTGTGATTCCTTTGGAACCAGTGTTGTTGTTCATGGCATTGGAAGCGTTCGTAAAAACATTATATTTAAAGTGAGTCTGGGAGAACACAGATATTCAAATGACTTAGGAGCCATGAGTTTCCAGTTCGAATTGTGGCCAGCTGGACCTTTACTGCATGTCAGCAAACTGGCTCACTCATGACAGTCAGAGTATTGTCAGAGGCTGTATGAAAACAGACGACCTGACAGCTCCCCGGAAGTGACGACAATATCTTGATAATAGCTTGCTGGCCGAGGTGCTCACATTTGGGCGGGGCAAGAGGCAGAACCTTGACACCATGTCGGCACCTTTCAGTCACTACTACAGACACTGGTTGCAAATGGCTTCACTATCACAAGATGGCAGCGCCCAGTTCTGCCACATTCTGGTTTTACTTCTGCACAGTGGCAGGCGGTGGTGACATGCTGTTCATCACTAGATACAAGCTACATAAAGACTGCTCACCTGAGCAACATTAGGAGCTGCTTATATCAGACTAAACAAGGTTTTATCTGAATGTAATAAACCTAGCATGTGTGCTAATTGCATGTTATTAGCTCTTTTAACAATAACATTGTGTGGCTTTGAATTTGTTGGACCTCTGAGCATGGTGATGACAAGACCTGACCTGAGTGAGACAAGGATTTCAACATCAAACAACAAAGAACTTGTATGTCCACCTTTTCAGCACAGAGGTGGAAATTTGTCTTATTATTATATAACAAATATACTGACTTATGGCAAAAGTTATGAATGTAAGACTTTTCTTCAGGAGCAGGTTTGGTGTGCAGAAAAAGTTCACACATTTGGTTGTCCCTCGTTAAACTAAATTGGAATTTAGAGTTCAGTTTGCTGTGATCTTGCTGAATTCATACTCAAACTTCACAGCCTCACCCACTGCTCTCACCTTGAGTATATCAGGCTCTTTTGCGAGCCGCAGCAGTTTGCAGGACTTCCCCAGACCGATACCGTGCAGGGAGGCCAGGTAGTCACAACCAGAGAGGATGCACATGTAGCGGAATTTCTCTTCTGTGAAAATGTTGCCCAGGGAGTGACAGCGGCCCAGGTTGCTCTGGTCTATCTCCAGGCCATTGCCCTGCTTGTCCATTTTGAGGATTACCTGCAGGATTGCGAAAGACAGATCTGTGTTTATATAGTCTCATGTTGCCTGACGTATCTCCAGGAGAATGGCAGGTTGTACCTGAAGTCTACATGCCGTGATTCAGACCAATGTTAGCAGTCTTTGTTAACCCTGCTTGCAAAAAAACTGTTGTTTCAAAATGAGTTAGTTTTGCAGTCCTTTGCAGGTTATATTTGGTACTGTCTAAATATGTTTAGCTAAAAATGCAACAAATGCAGATGTGTTGTAATGCAATGATTTTAGCAGTCGTTTCTGATGACTGATGTTGTTGTTCTCAATGCTGGCCTGCCAGATTCCTTACTGTTCTTCCTTGTTCTAACCACAAAAATCTGTGTTAGCACTGAAACTGCCCGAGCAACCTCAGACTGATCTGAATGTTGACAACAACAACCCATACACAACGCAGTGACAGCTTCCAGGTGGAACTGAGCGCCCTGCGTCTACTGCTAGGTACCTTTTTGCAGCCAAATGCCAGCAGGTCAGAGTCCTCAGTGATGACAGCCTGGGCCAAACCAGATTTTGTGAGGAAAGCTAACTGAGCATCAGCTTCATATGGAGCCACGACACAGTCCACCCCTCTCGCCCTGGCCGCCTGGATCAAGAAAGCACACGCACACACACACACAGTAACATTTGTAGTATTTTACCATTAGCAAGAATGTCCAAAAGAAAGGGAATGCATTTACACATACATGATAGAGCTCAACCAGTTATCAGATCCTAAAATGCACATTTTGTATTGTAATTTTGTGATATAAATTTGTTAATTTAAAATTGTGCTACTCTAGTCACCACTCTGTGATTTCCAACACCGTCTTGTCCACAGCACTATCTGATTAGTTGGAAACCACAAGAGCCTATCAACACTGAAGGATAAACATTAAGAGGTTCTTTTTTTAAATAAACATATGTAATACATACATAAACTAAAGTCTTGTGTTGCAGTTTGTGTGATACCACATTTTAACACCAAGATTTTCATTTTACTGCTAATTGAAATCTGTTCCCAACACCAGTGATCAGTCTGCTTTGACTGCTAATAGCCAGTATTATCACTGACCCTGGAAAAGCCACGTCAGTCGACCCTCAATACTGAATTAAATCTTGCTTCTGTATAGTTCAGCTGAGTCTAGCAGTCCTCACCTTAATAAGGTTATGAGCCATAGCTGGAGTGACGTTAACACAGCGGTTAAAACAGTCTCTGGCCTCAGACAGTTTGCCTTCACGTAGCAGCTGTCTACCTTTTTGAAGGTTGGATTCTCTGCGCCTGAAAGGTACACAAAAGATGAATAATTAATGTGTAATACTAAGCGAATTTAAACTGGCAGTTTGAATAAAAACTGAGACACAATTCAAGACAAAATGAAGGCCACGAGGGAAAGAAACGCTCTTTGCTGCAGCGGTACTTAAAATGAAGACAATCATAGGTGAAGCTCAGCTTCCTTGTCAACATATAACAAAGTTTTGGATATCTTTTGCTCCTTGATTGTGAAGTCTTTGTTTGTGAAGGTGATGTGTCAGGTCTGTGCGTTCCTTTCTGCACCTTCACACAAACAATGTTGCTCTGTTGCTGTTTTGGAATGTGGTCCTTCAAATAAACCAGGCATTGTCTGAGCATGTTTGCAACCACACTTCAAAACGCTGGATTGTTGTGTTTGGCACAGGTCATCAATATTTCTCTGAAACTCTGGGTAATCATATCGCTCCATTTTCTGTGACTGCCACATTTGTTTATGGCTCCAACATCATCTGAGGAGTGGAATGATGTTGTCTTTGATTACTTACTTGTCTGGTCAATATTTGATATATTGCTTTTAACGAGGTCCAAACACAACCAAACACACTCGGACATTTCAGAATCACCAATTCACCTCAACATGTTTTTGGACTGTGGCAGGAAGCCGGAGAACCCGGAGAGAACCCACGCTGCACGGGGAGAACATGCAAACTGCATGCAGAAAGATCCTGGGTGTCCTCACCGGGACGTGAACCGGTGACCTTCTAGCTGCAAGGCAACGATGCTAACCACTGTTCCACCTTGCAGCCCCAAGGTCGAAGATATTTAGTTAATTTTTTTTTTAAATGAAAAAAGAAGATAATCCAGAGAATGTTTGAATGAATTGTGTAAATGAAAAATCAATTATAAATTTTCTATTTATCAACCATTTGATATTTACAATCAGAATTTACAATTTTATTTAGCAGATGCTCTTATCCAAAGCAACATACATCTGAGGATAGATCACATTCATACACCAATGGCAACAGATAAGGAGCAACTTCAGGTTCAGTGTCTTGCCGAAGGAAACTTCAACTATGGAGGGGCGGGAACAGTCAACCTTGCAATTAGAGGACAACCCGCTCTACCACCTGAGTCAAAGCCATCAATATCAGGTTTCAGCATCCCTCTGCTCTAGTTGCTTGGCTTCCTCTCAGCTTCCTGTGGCTGCCATAACATGAAGCCCCACTGCAGTCGGAGTTGTTCTCTTCCTCAGTGTTCCTGCCTTCTTGTGGCACGACACTGTATGACACTAAGCAAACTTCAGTTCCTTGACTGTGTTGACTAAATACTAGAATTCCCAGTGTGGTGTGCACAGTGCAACTAAGATCTGCTGCATGTGACTAAACTCACACTGCTCCTGGCTGGGTGTTTAACAGTTGTTGTTTTTTGGTGTCTCTTGGAGATATGGAGTGATGTCTCCTGGGTGGAGGACATGAATTATCATCCATCTTGTGTAGCTGATAATACAAAGCAGTGTTGAGCTGAGTTTCTTCATTGTTTACTCTGCACTGATCCTATATCAGTTTGGCATATTTTAAAGAAAGAGCAGGCTTTTCATACATAAGAATTCTGTTACTAAAATATTCACAATAGATGTGTCTCTGCCCTGAATGCGTGCAGCAGACATTCAATATAGAGTAGGGTCTAAAAGTCGAAGTACGAAATCTGTTGCACTTTCAGATGAATTTAAAACTAATAAGAATGACTGAAGATTTAGAAACAGTTCAAAATACAAGAATCAGGAATAAATGATACCTTGAGGCATTATTTGGAAAAGTTTGCCACTGTGGGGAAATTTTCCACTACCTATAAACTTATTAACAGTCAATGATTTAACCTGAACCTGATTTAAAGTGCATCTCTGTTTATCAGATGTACATACTTAGATTACTTTCCATAAAATCAGTTCCTTTCTGCATTAAAATGCTTTAGATGCAATTCTATGGAGTTACTTTTCTAGCTTTAAATAAGAACATGGTCTTTCAGTTTATCTCTTCAATTTACATTTGGATTTTGTAATACTTAAAACTCTGTCCTCTCTCTACAATAGCCTTTGCTCAGGTCCAGATTTGTTCTGCTCCTGCTCAAAACGGATTTCTCTGCTCTCAGAATTACTGTTGCTGCACAAAGTTCCTGTTCTTCAGTTTTAGTGTGTCTCCCCACGCTCAGGTAACAAGTACATTTTCATTGCTGCTGTAAAAGGTATTAGGACCCCCCATCTGGATGCAGCCAAAATGGCCCCATAACTCAATTAAGATATGATACACACTGTCAGTGTCCCAAAGGTGCTCCTCCTGCTCAGCAGCTCAGATGGCATCCCCACAGTCTTATCTATTTTCTGCCTTCAAGTCAAATTTGTTCAACTTTAACCAGTCACACACACAAATGGAAAACTGACAAACCTGTCAAAATCACAACACGCATTCTGCATTTGTGTTGAATTTCGAGGACATACATGCATGTGTGTGTCCTGCATCTTCACACTGGTACACAATCAAGGTAAACACTCACATCCTGCGGGCCTTTTCCACCTCTTGTTTTGAAGGCAGATTGCGACCATCAAACACCAGAATTGGCTTGACACCGAAGTTTAACAGCATGTCCACTAACTTCATGCAGAACCAAACATACCTAGGATGGGACAAAGGAAAATGTCAGTTTCAGTTCAATCCTCACAAACAATGACATACTTCTGAACATTCCCTCTTTTTCATTGATTGAAAATAGTCAAACTTCTTACTGGTCAGTTGGTTCTCCTTTTGCAAGCTTCTCAGCACATGAAAAGGCTCCTTTATGTAGCCAACAGTAGGTGTCCACAGCCACCGTCTGGCCTCTGTATTTCTTCACAATGATGGGCTCTGCTGCATCTTTGATAAACTGAAGCAGTCCAGAGATTCCCATTTTCAGCTGCTGACTGGCGCCACACTGATTTTGAACCTGAGAAACAATCACAAAGATATACACAACTCATGTGTAACCCCTCATATGTAAACAAACACTAATACTTTCAAAGAGAAAACATATGATATTATCCAGCAAATCTTATATTAACATAAATTTGACAGCATGCAGGAACAAAAGTATAACCGCCTCACACATATTAATCAAAGTAAACAAGAGTTTTAAGAAATGTAAAGAGGGAATTGGTGTTGAAAATGAGGGTCCAGGTCTGAGCATACAAAATAATTTCAAGAAATATTTCTAAACTGCATCAGTTATTACAAATTCATAAATAACACTTTGCCCATCAAAGTGCAACTGGAATCAGAGCTAAACTTAGAAATATCAACATTTTTACTAACTCTGGGAAATGGAGAAAATATAGTTGTTGTTTTTTTTGTGTCACCAGTTACATTAAATCAAATTGCTGTTTGTGAAGGCACATAAATCCTGATCTCACACTGATTTTCTGGCGATGGGAGAATGTTACCATGTTCTGTTTAAAATTACTGAAGTGCTATGAGATGACATATGTTGTGAATTGGTGCTATAGATAAAGGTGAATTGAAAATTTAGTTGAATTGGAAGAATATACTCTCAGTGAGCATTTTAATAGAAACACCTGGTTCAGAAGATTGTGTCACAGAATCCACAAGATGTTGGAAACCTTCCTGAGATTCTGTTCAATGCTGACATGATCCACCACATCATTTTTGCAAATTCCTCTGCTGTGCTTCCATGCTGCCAGTCTTGTGTTGTACCACATCCCAAAGGTGCTCCACTACATTCACATCTGCTGACTGCAGAGGCCACTTAAGTTCACTGAACTAACTGCCATGCTAATGAAACCATTCCATACTGAGTTTAGTGTTGTGAAATACTGGAAGCAGCTACTAGAAAACAGTGGCCATAAAGGGATGCACATGGTCAGAAACACTGAGATGCACTGTGGCATTCAGAACATTGACTAGTTGATACAAAGGAAAAAGTACACCAAGAAAACATTCTGCACACTATCACACCAGCCTGGATTGTTGACACAAAGTAGGTTAGCTGCATGAATTTTCTGAGCATCTGCAGCCTCAGCAGAAATGGAGCATCATCAGACCAGGCGATGCTTGTCCATCTACAGCTGTCCAGTCTTTGTCCACTGCAGCCTCACATTTCTGTTTTTGGCCAAGGGAGTGACATGGTCTGCTGCTGTAGTGCACCATCCAACTCAAGGTCGGACATGTTGTTAATTTTGAGACCTGTTGCTTATTTGATTTTTCACTGGAGACTGGTTTTCCTCCCAGCTCTCATGTATGGACATTAAATTAAGCTCCTGACCTGCATCAGAAGGATTTCATGCATTCCACCGCAGCCACATGATTGGCCGTTTGGATAACTGCATAAATAAGCAGCTGCACAGGTGTTTCTTATAAAGTGCTTGTAGAGTGCAAACATAAACATCACAGACATGTTGGGCTAGAAGATTTCTCAAGACAGAGTGATGTAGTATGTTGGTGTGTTAGGAGAACAAGATGTCCTGTAATTTTTTAGTAACAGTACATGGTCAGATCTTTGCCACTTTGACCAGCAGCCCCTTCTCACGACTTTCTCATTTGTTCCATCTGTTTTCATTTTTCATCTAAGAATCATACTGGAATGGTCACTGAATATTACACTGGTATTTGAGGAGACTCTAGTTTTTCCCATTAAATCTCCACATTAAGAGATCATTCAAATGCAACCTCACATCACCGTCCAGTATACTGACACTGTCATACATGGAACCACACAATGACATGTATATTTAGGAGAACAGCTGGTTTATCTGAATGACTCTTTTTTTCCCCCATTTGAAGCACTTGTTGAGTTCAAGTTGAAATGAAGTATATTATCTACATTGCACAACTTGCCTGGGACATGTGTGCCTCTGTGGCCACAGCATTTGTATAACCAACAGATCTCATGTCAGACTTTTGTTATGACATTTGATCCCTTATGTCAGCTGGATGACACAGACTCATTAGGACTACTGTACACAGTTCATACTTTGTACTGAATTAAATATAGAAATCTGGGCATTTTAATTTGCAAGTCATCAGCTCATAGCCCTACTCAGTACTTTAAACGAAATATCCAGATATTAGTCAACAAAGTGGGTCAGTTTCATGCGGAATGAATTCAACACATGAAATAACTATTTCCAGGTTTAGTTGTTTTGTCTCTGCTGATCTGTCCGGAAGTACCCGCATCTCAAATACCGTCAGCTGGGTCAGGCTCCGTCTCTTCATTCACCACAGCACAAACGGAGGGCTAAAGCTAGCTAACAGCGACCAGCCATCATTTAAGGTTTAGATTTCAGATTTCTGAAGAACGTCTTGGCGTCGAATCTCCCACAAAAACAGAAACGGTTGTAAAACGTATCATTACATGTTCCTGTTTGTTTAGCTTTGTTAACACGAAAAACAAGACACATGACAGGCTTTAATATGACAAAGTTTTCTCTAAACACAGCACATTGAGGGTGTCTCACTCGAGTTTGTTTCCAAGGTTTCCACCAGGTCCTTCAAAGTGCACTGCACGTTACTCGGTCCTAAAAATGAAGCCAGAAGTTAATTAAAAGGTGAAAAACTATTTAGTCTTACCTGGATAAAAACAGCAGCGGATCAGTAACACAACAAAGCGGACAGTTTGTCTGATCAGGGCAACACGCAAAATAAATATAATGCCAACTGAAGTGATGTTTTAAGCCCAAACTGCTCTTTTTAGGTCGGTAACACACAAACGGCACGACAGCGCAGAACTGGAGCGAGTTTGGTTTTAGCGGCAAAAGAGGTGATTCAGTAAGAGCTGCTGCTATTGGTCAGATGGAGGGAGGGCGGGATTACGGAAGGAAAAAGGTGCGCTTCAACATGTCACCGGCACAGCACTTCAGTGTTCATAACGTCACTGTAACAACTGGTTGTAAAGACCTGTTCTTGTTGACTTTGGCACAACCCAGTCTCAACAATACTACCGGATCTACCACAGTAACTGCTGGCCACCAGAGATTCAGCGAGATATCCGGCCGCTTCATGTGCCACGTGAAACGCTCGTGTCCCCGCCCCCGCCTCTTTGGGAATGCGGCCCACCGGTGTTAATGTAGAGTTGTACCATCCTGCAAAACTGGTGAACGCTGGAGAAGGGTGGGACGCTGAGGAGTGAGAACAGCCAAGACAACAGTCAACACTGACTGACTGCACGTATGAACTGTGTAATCTACAGAATGCATTAATATTGGTGGACAAACACCGCGATACCGATTAGCCTGATATTTGTAAGGTTCAACAGTATAGTATAAACAGCGTTTTAAAATCAGGTTTTTGCACCCTCAGATGAATATCACAAAGATGTATTACATGTACAGCGTCAAGCCAACCTATGCAGGCCAAAGTATGTGCTGGCAACAGGAAGAAATATGCATGTTTTTAAAAATAAAAATAAAAAAATAGAGCTGTAGGGTGGTCACTGTTTCATTTGTGCTCATTCATTCCCTTATACCAACTACAAAACATCCAACACCTGTATTTGTGGTGGGGGTAATACATGCTGTACTGGCTTACTGCATGTAAATTATGATTAGAGAGAAAGAACAGAGAGGTCTGCAGCAGCATAGATTTAACATTTTGGAACAAGTTTTGCTGTGAGCTCTGATATGATTGTATGGATGGCCACGTTGAGGTGGATGATCAACATGCTAAGTTCACAAAGCACTCACTAAAAGTCATGTCAATTGTTTGTTTACAACTGTTTAGACTACAAGGTGCAGGAACACCAAGTAGTGTGCATTTGTACTCCACTGTACCACGCAGTACCCTCTCTCCTTGCCTGTAATACACACGTTTCTCAAGCTATCGTGTTTTAATCAGTTTTAATGATGCAAATAAACTGCAACATCAGAAAAGCAGTAGAAGTGCTTAAAAGTGAAGTACATGATTTTAATCCAGTACACTTTCTGTCAGATTCAGTGAATATCTCCTCACAGTCCAAGAGCTGGATTGAGAGGACTCCGGTGTGTGTACACAGCTCTGACTCTGAATGTGAAAAACTGATCCACACAGCAATATTCTAAAGGAAAAGGGAAGAGGAGGGGAGAGGGAGAGAGAGTTTTCCTCCACTACCTGGGGGCAGAAGGAGCAACCAGGATGATCAATCTGGGACATGTGAAGTAACTAAATACACTAATATCAACAGGCAATATCCCAGAATGCATTTTGCAAACAAACAAGTGGCAATGGCTCAGGTCAAAACTCACAACTGTAGGTCGTAATTTTGTCTCAAAGAACATGGTTTTATGTTTAAAAAAAAAAAAAAAAAGCATAAAAAGATTATGTAGTTGTTTGAACTTAAGCACTGTGTTTGGTTTGTCAAGATAGAGTCTATTTGATTTGCTTAAACAGTTTCAGACATGTGAGGTCCTGTTAGTGACAGCCCAAGTATCCCAGCGTATAGAATAGAATAGAACAGAAACTTTGTCAAACAGAATATACAGTTGTTGTGCACATTTTGGCTGGAATTTCAATGCAAAGGCTCGCCATCAGACTGGTAAATAACAAAACAGAAATTATTAGAAATAAAAACAATTACAATATGTATGTGTAAATAAATATATATATATGTACACACACACACACACCCATTATCTATACACTGCTTTATCCTCACTAGGGTCGCGGGGGGCTGGAGTCTATCCCAGCTGACTTAGGGTAAAGGCAGGGGACATCCTGCACAGGTCACCAGTCTATCACAGGGCACACACACACACACACACACACACAAATATATATATACACACACACATACACACCTGCATACATACACCATACACATCCGCACATATTTATTTCACAGCAGAAGAAGCAGCAGTTTTCTGTAGTGAACAGAGATAATGGAGCAGAAGTATTGCACATGAAACAATAAATGTAGCAGCTGTTACAGTTCACAGTGAACCATGGGTAAACCAGAAGAATTATTTTGAATTTAAGAGTCTGATGGCTTGGGGTATGAAACTGTTGCAGAACCTGGTGTTCTCACTCTGGTGCTGCAGAACCTCCTCCCAGAGGGGAGCAGGGAGAACAGTCCATGGTGTGAGTGTGTGGAGTCTTTGATGATGTTTCAGGCTCTGCTGAGACAGCGCTTGTGTGCAACATCCTGGATGGATGGAAGAGAAATCCAGATGATCTTCTTCTCTGCATCTCCATCTGGTTTGGCAGATGAACACGCTGTCTATGCTGCCTCTGTAGAAGGTGGTCAGGATGGGAGGGGACAGCTGTGCTCTCCTCATCTGTCGTACGAAGTGCAGACGTTGCTGAGCCTGTTTAACCAGAGATGATGTGTGCAATGACCAGTCCAGACTGTCCGTAATGTGCACCCTCAGAAATTTGGTGCTGCTGACCACCTCCACAGCTTTGTTGATGAGAGGTGAAGGTTGGGCTGCTTCCTCCTGAAGTCGATGATCAACTCCTTTGTCTTCTCGACGTTCAGGATCAGATTATTTGCACTGCACCAGTCCACCAGCCGTTTCACCTTCTCTCTGTAGGACATATCATTGTTGTCCCGAGTGAGACCCACTACTGTTGTGTCATCCGCATACTTAATGATGGGATTTGAGGCGGATGCAGAGCAGCAGTCATGTGTCAGCAGCATGAACAGTAGTGGGCTCAGAACACATCCCTGTGGAGGTCCAACTGAGGAAGAGATGGAGCTGGAGATGGTGTTTCTCATTCTCACTGACTGTGGTCTGTTAGTGAAGAAGCCTAGCAGCCAGTTGCACATGGGGGTGCTGATACCCAGTGGACTCAGTTTGCTTAACAGCTGCTGAAAGATGATAGTGTTAAATGCTGAACTGAAATCAGCCAGCAGCATTCACACGTAGGTGTTTTTATCCTCCAGATATGCCAGGCTCAGATGGAGAGCAGAGGAGATGGCATCCTTGGTGGAGCTGTTCGGCCGGTAAGCAAACTGGTGTTGGTCAAGTCCAGGGGGCAGTGTGGAGATGAACACTTCATCATTAGGGTCCGAGCACCCAAAGGGTGCAAAGACCCTATTGGAATGCTAGAGATTACTATTCGTGACAATGAGACGCGTTTGAGGCCCTAAACGTTCTCAAAACTGCACAAAACTTGGCACACACATCAGACCCAGTGAAAAATGTTAGAATTTGGAAGAAAAATACACACCTCAATAGAAAAACTGCTCCACAGCACCACCTTGAAAATTTCAACAGAGTCCTGTTGGAAGCACGTTTGGCCTACAGCTACGCAATTTCATAGGCATGTAGAGCAGGTCAGGAAGAACAAAACAGTCAAGCTCTAAAATGCAACTGGCTCAACTGCGCCCCCTACAATATTTCAAGTCCCATTGGGGCTACATTTCACCTACAACTACAAAATTCAGCACACATATGTAACAACTTGTGCCACACAAAAAAAGTTCATCAGCATGTTTCTGTAAAGCCAACAGGAAATCAGCCATGTTGGAAAAACAGCAAGCATGCCAGGCCATTTTCGCTTCAAAATCTATCTCCTCCTAGGGGGTACGTTGTACACACCTGAAATTTGGCCAGCACAAACTACAGGAGGTGGTGATTCTAAGTTAGTAAAACAGTCTGCAAAAGTGTGACGGCGTGGAAATGGCGCCCCCCGCAATTTGGCCACAACGCCATAAAATGCCACAATAGGAGAGGTGCTGTGTAACTGGCCTGTGTGTGCTCCCATCGGCCTGAAACTTTACACGCCTGCTCTGAGTCTCAGCCACAGCTTGTTCCCGCCACGGTCAACACGCACGCCGCCGCGGTTCGCCACTAAACAGGAAGTGGCTCATAACTAGGCCGCGTGTGCTTCGATCTGCCCCAAACTTGATACCCAGAATCAGAGTCGCACCCCGAGCACCCCGACGTGTGCAAAGGCCGATAAGCATACGGCGAGGACCCGTCCAATGCTGTTTGTGGCTTTAATTAGGGTCCGAGCACTACAGTGTGTAGGACCCTATTGTAACCCTTGTGATAATTTTTGTACCGACTTTTGAAATGCGATTTTGAGGGCCTATACATGCACAAAAACTCACCATAATCGCCACACACATCAGGACTGGCAAAAATTTTGATATTTTAAGGGAGTTTCGTTGAAGGGTGTGGTCGTGACAGCCCTCTGATTTTTGATCCTTCACCATCACAATGGAAGCATGTCTAACGACCCTGTACATACTCCAATCTACCTCAAACTTTACATACTTGATCACAGTCCTGCCCTGATGAAACCCATATGCCAAGATCCATTCAGTCATAGCGCCACCTGCTGGCAATAGGAAAGAACATGTTTAATACTTTTATGTGCTATCACTAGCAGGTTGATCGTATTCACCTCAAATGGAATGAGATGAGCCTTTAGACATTAATAATGACTCATACCAAAAATTGTGAGTCTTCATCAAGCAGCATGTCTGTGGCGGCCCTCTGAACCATTCAGCCCACTCCTGTGATGCTGGCTGACTGCAGCTTGCTCCTGCACTACTGAGGAGACAGAATGAGGACTCAGGCGTGAATGGAGTCAGAACGACAGCATTCTGCACAACTGTGACACTTAACAGCATTTGCCGTGTTTTAAGTAAAAGGTTACGGTTAGGTGATTGTCACTTTGCCCGGAGTGCATTTCTGCCACAACCCTGACGCGCGCCACATCCGACACATGTGGAAGTGCGAGGACCCGTCCATCACCGCATATGGCATATAGAGCTGGTCAGGTCAAACAAAAAACGTACACAGCTCCAACCTCTAAAATGCAACATGGCTCAACTGCGCCCCCTACAATATTTCAACAGAGCTCCATCAGGGCTACGTTTCACTTGGAGCTACGAAATTCGGTACACATATGTAGCAACTCGTGATGCACAAAAAAGTCCAAGAGTATGTTTCTGCAAACCCAACAGGATATCCGGCATGTTGGAAAAACGGCGTGCATGCCGGGCCGTTTTCGCTCAAAAATGGCCATTTTTGGGTCCCGGGATCTTTCTCTGTGGAGTTTGCATGTTCTCCCCATGGGTTCTCTCCAGGTTCTCCAGCTTCCTCCCACAGTCCAAAAACATGCTGGGGTTAATTGGTGATTCTAAATTGTCCGTAGGTGTGAATGTGAGTGTGCTTGGTTGTCTGTCTCTTAAGTGTAGCCCTGTGATAGACTGGTGACCTGTCCAGGGTGTCTCCTGCCTTCGCCCTGAGTCAGCTGGGATAGACTCCAGCCTAATGAGGATTAAGCGGTGTACAGATAATGGGTGGATGGATGGATCCTCAATCTTTAAATTGATTTTTAAAAAATAACTCTTCGGGCTCAACCTGGGAAACATAACAAGTTTTGGACCTCATTAAAAGCAATATATCCAATATTGACCAGACAAATAAGTATTTAAAGACAACATCTTTCCACTCCTCAGTGGATGGATGGATGTCCCAGTATCATGACAGGCCCTGAACGCATCATAAGACGTGTCTGATTTCCCAGCTTCCTCTGCACTTCCTGCTTGTTTCCACTGCAGCAGTGACAGACGAAAACAAAATGCGATAGTCTAACTTCACAGATGAGCTGTGATCAATGACAGCCTTATTACCGAGCTCCGGTTTATTTCATTGGCCGATTATTTAAATGTCATTTCTCTGGACCTGACGTGTGTGGCAGTAACAAAACGAAACATGCAGTTCTCTCCCACCAACGGAGATTTCACATTCGTCTCCTCGACAGAGGCTGAAGGTAGGCTAACGCTAGCAGAGCTACAGCTAGCAGGCCGTAAAAGAGCACGTCACCTGTTTACGTTCGTAATTTTAGCTGTCATAAAATAGCTTGTTAGCCCAGGTGTCAAAACCTTCAACATGACAAATAATAACTATGTTTGGACTAACTACGTGTATTTTAAAATAGCTGCTGTACATTAATAAATGCGCGTGCTGTCGATTAGCTTTGCTAAGTAACTTTCGTACTAATACGTGGCTGGAGCAGAACGGAACGAACAAATACCACAAGTAAACTGTGGGCGTTTACAAATGTTGTTTACTGTCCATGTTAACAGACCGTGAAAATAAGAAATTAAAGCAGCGGTCAAGTGTTTTATGGCTGCCCCGAAGCCAAAAATATTTAGCTAACCTGAACAAAAGCCAACATAGACTTTTGTTTACATTGGTCACTCAGACTTTCCAGCATCTCCTCACACAGATGGTGAGTGGAGGCTGTGAACGATGTCAGTATGCAGATGGAGCTGTTTGTTAGAAGAGATAGACAGTGGTGGTATGGTAATATATGTAGTATATAAATGTGGTAGTATAGTAATATATGTAGTATATAAATGTGGTAGTATGGTAATATATGTAGTATATAAATGTGGTAGTATGGTAATATAGGGGGGATTGGAGTGTAACACCTACCTCACAAACATAAATGTGGTAGTGGAGAAACAAGAACAATTGAAAGGCCAGCACAACAACTAAAACTCACTAAGTTCAATACAAATTGAATATTTTTGAAAGCCTGAATAGACTCAGAGCTCTAACACTGACAGTTCTATATGAGCGCTGTAACATTCATTTTAACACATACTCAATGTATACTGCACACTGATGATAATATACTTCATGATGTTGTACATCAGTGTAAGTCAAGTAGTCACTCATTGAAATCTGCACAATAAGGTACAGCATGGTTTGTAACTGTGTATTAGGGCTGAGAAAATCATTTTAAAATGCAATTTGAAGTAATGTAGTTAGCAAGCCATAAAAGCTGCAGTTTAGGAAATATGTCATGCAACATGTCTGTCCCAGAGTTGAAACTGTTGTGTTAATGGTTTTTAAACTTTCATGTCTTCCTCTTTGTGTGACAGTTTCATGTGTTAATGCCCCATCACATTAAAGTTTAATACGCAGTGAATGTTCAAATTAAAATTAGATATTTTTTACCAAGTTGTTCAGCACGACTGTATATTGTACTGGATTGGAAAGATTCAGTTTGTGAACCACTAATGTAAAAGATGTGGAGGGTTTCGCTGTGAGAGGCACCTGCTCTCCAGAGTCAGAGGAAACTTGTTGGACACAGTAACAGTAGCTGGCAGGAATGTCTTCCTAAAGAAATTAAGTTTTTATTTTGTCAAGGACTGAAATAGTGTATCTCAACAAATTAGAATATTGTGGGGTAGAAAAAATAATTGAATTAAAACAGGTAAACTTTCATTTAATCTATATTCACCTTTGGATTCTTTGGGTCTCTGTTCTTTGTTTAAAATTTGTGATGTCGTTACCGCGCAGTGCTATGAGATGGCATATGTTGTGAACTGAATTGAACTGAATCTCCTCCACAGAGCTCAGCGGCACAATCAGCACCCCAGACGTTAAACTCAACATGGGCAGTGACAGCGGTAAAGACCCGTATGCCACCACCTTCCTGAGGCAACGAGGCTACGGCTGGCTGCTGGAGGTGGAGGAGGAGGACAGTGAAGAGAGCAAACCGCTTCTGTGAGTGCATCATGTCTTTTCTTAAGCTTTAATTCGATCTTTGTTGGGTTTTTTTTTAGATATTAATGATGGCTGCTGTCTGATGTTGCTGAGATGGCTTAAGCATAACAAGACAAACAGGAAAATCTGCATCTTGTTGTTTGTTATAAGTGAAACTGCAGTGGCTGAGGGAAAGCTGTACAATCAATGGGATAGATGACTGCTAATGCTGCCCTACGAGGCAGAGAGTTGCAAAATTACTAGGAAAGGGTATGAAGTTGTCAAACTGGACAACAAAACATAAAACAGATTTGAAAAACCTTTAAACCTTTCATTTTATGCCTTATTTTAACCACAAAAATGAATACCAGTAAACCCACATCCATGATCCCTGCCTTTAGATACATTCACACACTGCTAATATGCTGCAGAATTTATCAGTCAGATTAACTAGAAAATGAATTTTCGTTTTTTTATTAGGCTCCATAGCTTACAAGAATCAGCTGTTTCTATGTTGGGATTAGTTTCTATTCAAGGCAGCTTAACCTTCAAATCACATGAAATTCACTCGTCAAAAAATGAATTGGCAGCTACTTATTCTTCCTCAGTCCATCTGTCACATGCTTCTGTAAAGGTCTATTGAGGGTGTCCACGTCCCTGTGTGCTCATCACTGTAGACTTTCAAAGTGAACTGTGTGTGTGCGTGCAGCTCTAGTCAGTCTACAGTCCCTTATGTTGAACACAGTATACATGCAAAGCTCAAGTGGAAGTTTCTGAAAGGCTGGCTGTGACTTTGCCTTTTATAGTATATAGCAGCTAGTTGCAGATTGGGCTGTTGCACTAGTGTGGTTATTCCTAAGGTGTGCCATACACAGTAAAAGAATTCAGAACATCCAACTGTATTCAGGCAGCGCTGACAGAAAGCATGGTAGTATAAATAGTAATACTTCCCAAGTCCTGCAGCAACTACTTCAATTAAAGCTCTGTTTATGATGAATTATGAAATGCAGACAGTCAGTGCGATTGTTCTGGGCTGCCCTTGGAAGTCAGCAGAGGAGCCTGCGTGGACCTTGAGTACTTGGGTGGATGAGAAGATTTCCGTCTATATGAACACGCTCACATGGAACACATGAATTCCCTGCTAACAAAAACAAACTGCAGATTTTTAACAGTGGTGCCTGAAACACAATACTACTGGACCAATCAGAAAGGTTCAGCACTCCACTGCTTAAAGGTCCTTTGCTACTGCTACCCCCAATTAGGGACTTGGTCGGGGTTAATATGGTGTTCCTCCAATGGTTCTTTGTCCCTGGAGGAAGTTCCTGCAGTGGAAAAGTTATTATAATGTTGATTTTTCTGTGTGAGCAGGGATGAGCTGGACATTGACCTGAAGGACATCTATTACAAGATTCGATGTGTGCTGATGCCAATGCCATCGCTGGGTTACAATCGGCAGGTGGTCAGAGACAACCCAGACTTCTGGGGCCCTCTGACCGTGGTGCTGCTCTTCTCCATGATCTCCATCTATGGACAGTTTAGGGTGAGCAGGATACAATAAACACTACTGGGTCATCTACACTTCCTAGACTGAATATGTGGGTGTATAATGAGTCCATCAAAGGCCTAAAACAGCATCTGACATGTCAAACATCAGTATGCTCCACTGCACACACAACATCACGGTGTTTTGTCCAGCAAGTGAACTCGGTTCCTCTTGTTTCAGTGTTTGTTGTCCTTAGTACAAATATGCAGCTCTGGAATGTTTTGTTGTTGTTGTTGTTGTTGTTGTCATCTACAACAGACAGCACTACTGCACACTCCTAATGGGACCTGAAACTTGCATTTCCAGTAATACTGCTTCGTGAGTGGTAGCCTAAATTTTATTTAAGGAGGTTATCACAAAATCTTGTGGTGAACAGTGGAAATAAAAGCAGAGCCTTAAAAAAATACACATTTTGTTACATTTGCCCCTAATTTGTTTTTGCACTTGCAACTTGTAAAAGTAAGAATGTAAATCTCAAAGTATAAGGTAAGTGAGTGAGTGTTGCATTTCAGAAAGGTTATAAATATGTCAGATAGCGTGTAGTATATCATCACACTGCTGTTCCAGGGTTAGAACCACACCAAACCTTTATGTCCAAACTGACAACATATGTCTTTAGTCAATATGACTAACTAGACTTTAGTTGGTCTATATGTCTATAGACAACACTTTGCAGCCTGTACATAGGATTGATTATTGTTAATAAATGTATATCTCTCTTTCTCAGTGTAATTTTAATAGAATGCACTTGAAAAGAGGACAAAACCTCCACAGCAGGTGTCCATAGATTCTGTGTAGTGATATTAAGTTACATAAATCAACTATTCTAAGACTACGGTGCATAGAATTACCACCACAATCAAACTTTACAAAAGCAGACAACACAAAGCTGTGTAAATAATACAAACTCTACAGTGTCTGCAGGCTACAAACACACACGTCATGAAGCGAGCTGGGCAGTTTTTGCGCATAGTGTAGTGCACAGACAAATTTCTATGTTGCTAGGCAACTCAAAAGATGTTGGCAGTCTCTTTACAGTATGTTACAGCAAAAAGTCAATTTGTTGTTGCACTCTGCCTGAACAACACTGTGCATTGATTGTTCATGTTTGATGTGGATCATGCTCATCAGGTGGTTCCTTAAAGGAGAATTCCAGTTTATTTCAACCTGATGTATTTCCATTTAATATTTCCATCTTGGGTGTAAGTGTCATGCTAACTTAGCACTCTTTGCCTTGATTGAAGGCTAGAAATTAGCTGCCTGGAACAGTATCATTGTTTTTTTTTCTGTATCTGCTTGTTCTTGCTTCACCAGTTCATTTTGGAGAGATGAACACCGTCTCCAGGACGACTGTGTTTATCAAAGTTAAAGATTGGGTTGCTCCTCTCATCCATGGACACATGTAGATATTTACCCAGTCTGCCATCAACAGGTCCCACTCTGTGCAGCAATAGTTTTCCTCCTCAGTCAGTAGCAGAGCAATGAGCGGGGGAACACCACACATTTCTGTCCTGTTGCCTTTTTGCCTCCATTGCTTTGGGGAAAGTGCATCTCTTGCATGTAAACCAACTGGTGTGAGCAAATGAATATGCTTGAGATTGTTCAAAGCAGCTAATTTCTGTGTCTTAAATAAGACTGAAAACAAATGTGCAAAACTAGCAGTACCCACATTAGCTATACTAATGGGGAATAAACCAGCTTAACATAAACTGAAATTTTCTTTTTAGGTCGGTGATCAATTAAAGCAGTAACAACTGTATTTTAATTTTTTAAGTAAGCTGAAGTAATGCTTATCTGAACCATGGCAGCCACTCTGATAATATTCTTAGCTTGGCATGGAGCTCAGGTGTAACATTTACGACTGATTTAAAAGTAAAATGAAGTAGAAATACACAAATAACTACTTTTTTATGAATGTTAATGTCATGTGCTGCGCTTACTTTGGTGTTTTTGTTAACCCCTCCCACTTTTCAATCTTCACACTAAACTGTGCTGTCCATTCACAGGTTGTGTCTTGGATCATCACCATCTGGATATTTGGGTCGCTAACTATATTCCTGCTGGCTCGTGTTCTTGGTGGTGAGGTATGTGCACCTCACACACCGTCAGCCCCTGCAGCCACTTCAAATACTCTGTAAATGGGCTCTGACATGTCCAGCTAAAGACACTTTTTCTTCCCGACTGCTGTTGTTCTTTTGAGCAGGTTTCGTATGGCCAGGTTCTTGGAGTGATTGGATATTCCCTTCTTCCTCTCATCGTCATAGCGCCTCTGCTCTTAGTGATTGGAGGGTTCGAGGTAGTTTCAACACTAATCAAAGTAAGTTGATGACTACCCAGTTTTCTTTTTTGTTTTGTTTTGCTATTTTTGGGGGGTAAGCATGAAATAAATATCAAGTCAGAACACAACATTTTTGGAAAAGTAAAATATGACAAGAATTGTCCAGCCACTGAGCTTAAATTTCTATCAAGAGCGGACAAGAGCTAATAATGACATTCTAATCAGCAGATTAATCGATGTTTTATATTGTTAGTTGCAGCCCTTTGTAGGACCAGTGGTTCCTGTCTTTGGGAGGAAAAGCAAATTGTTAATGTGTTGAAAAAAAATTCCCAGTGTAGTTTTTATAAATGCAATAACCTTCTTCTGTGTGATTATAATCATAGTTCATGCGGTTTCTAGTGAATGAATGTAATGCTCATTCGTTTTTTCTCATCTTTCAGCTGTTCGGAGTGTTCTGGGCTGCATACAGCGCCGCTTCACTGCTCGTCGGAGATGAATTTAAAACAAAGAAGCCCCTTCTCATATATCCCATTTTCCTTTTGTATATCTACTTCCTGTCACTATATACTGGTGTTTGACTGAATAAATTGGAACTGTGGACCTTTTCAAGGACTGTGGAGCATGGGGGGAGAAAAAAATCAAACTACGAATCCAGGATTTTTTTAAAAAGGTGTTTATTTCTTTTTTAGGATGTGGGGATGTTGGGAATATATATCAATGTATATAGTTTTGTCCCTCATGTCTTTGGTCAATAAAATGCATATGCTTTTACAGCTTAAACTTCAGTATGCAGACTTCTCGTTCACCAGCGCAATACAGTCCCTTTAGCCCTGCATTAGTTGTAGTTCCTGAAGCTGGAAGTAGGTGCAGGATTGGATATTAATGTCATGAATTCTGAAGTCTTATTAACATTGAAGGATGTGGTGCCAAATATTTGTGTATATATGTTCACGCTGAAGAGGGAATTTGAGAGAAGAGACAGCACCACAACACAGTAATGTTCCTTGTTATGCACTGTAATGTACTATGAGAAATGTCCATTTATGCTTTTCAGTTTTTACAGACTTGTTTTCTTAATTTATGGAGTTGTGCAGCAGAAGCAGGTTGAATGGGGCCATTAGTGATATAAACCATTGTCTACTAAATGTGGTGCCTTGTTCTCCCACCCCTAATTCCTGTTTGTCAGCTTTATAACACGGGAATATAATCATTTGATCAATACTTCCAGTAAATTAATAGAGTAATTTGTCACTTAATCAACTGGTGTTTCCTGACTGCTCACTGTGTTACATACAGCAAACACAACTCGTCAGACCAATCTGTTAGACAGTACTGCATATTAACACACTGGATTCACCCACAAATGTGTTAATGTAGGGTTAGGATTAGATAGTGTTGATAAAGACTTTGCAGAAATATGACAGTATATAGACCTGTACGAATGAGTCCACATCACTGTTTTGGTATGTACATCTGTAATAGCAAAAAAAGTGGAGCCTCGTCTTGCCATACTCACCGCATCAAATTATACTGATGTTAGAGGCCTCAAATCTGGGTCTTTGTCAACCAAAGACTGTACTTTTAGTAGGAATTGTGAATACGTTCTTATTCACATACACATACAGGACACTGTATCCTCCATGATGAGAAGGATTGACTCATCAGGAAAAAAAAGTTGACATGAGGTACTGAAAAAATAAGATGTATTTCCAAAATGGAAAGAGGACTGACTTTTGTTGCATTAAGATAATGCTGTGAGGCCTGTGTTTTTAATGTAGTAAGTATAAACTGTTGGTTTCTCATTTAATATAAAAGCAGTCTATTGGAACTTTGAAACTGGAAATAATCCAGTTACTGTACTTTGAATTGTTTGACATAAAAGCAATACTGCACAGGGGTGTACTCACCTCTGCTGAAGTCAACGCACGAACATATTTAGAATTTTCAGGGGCAATACCATATATAATATATAATATTACCATTTCAACTCTGTCCAAAGTCAGTATTACATGAATGTTATCCAGCATACCCATCACTATATACAGTCTGAAACTCAAACTATGGTTTACTCAGCCCATTCGGTGGCATATTGTTACACCTAAAAATATTGAGTAAATTTTAAAGCTGCAAAGCCATCTAGAAATACGATCAGGATTAAATGCAAATAAAAAATTAAGTAGATCTGAATAAGTACATTTAGTACCATGATCTTAGAACTGACTAGATATAGTTCAATCCAAACTCAATGCAATAGTAGCCTCAAGTCAAAACGACTAAAAGAAAATGAGTAGCTGTAATTAAAATCCTGGATAAGTGTAGCTGAAAATAAGACTTATTCAACCAAAATTATCAAAATTAATATGCTATGTTTACTTTTACTTTCTTTTTTTTCAACAGAATGTACTTTTTCAGGATAGTATTCAACATATCTAATGAAATTTGACAATTAACATAAAAAACAAGGTGAAAACTACACACATGAGCATGTGTTAAACATTAACTTTTACAATTTGACCTGTGCAGCACATGCCAGTTAGTTGACAACTGACACATGTAATGCAGAAGTCCATGATATAAAAACAGTGAGCTGAACTGAATCCTGTATATTAGTACACAGGTCCTTCAAACATAGGTGTCCCAGAACAATCGCTTCTTCAATCACTTCAGCTCCTTAAGCGCAGAGCTATTTTTTTAAAAGACAATTTCCACCTAAGAAGACTCACCAAAATGTCTTCAGTAATCTCCACAACTGTGAATGAGCAACATTAAGAGCCAAGGTTAAGAGATACTTGTTTTGCAATACAATCTATGCACATCACCAGGCCGGAGTGAGAAAAACTCTCAATAAAATTGACAGTAAGTAACATTAACTGTTCCGACAAATCTCAACTGCAACTCCAGCAGCAACAGAAACCGAGCACAACAACACTGCATACATTTTAATCACTGTAGCACCAGACGGCCTCTTCACTGAATGTGTCACACCACACAACAGCAAAAGACTGCCTGTCAGCAGAAGCTGTTGAGCATGAATGGACATCTCAACCTAGGTTGTATAACAATACAAACCATTTTATCTAGCCTACCTTTCAACCAGATTTAAACTTTCCGATGAGTGTGTTAAAGTGTCCATGCTGTGAGAGCTACAGGCTGATCTAAACCATGCATATGGGTAAACTGCACCAAGAACAGTGACAGTTTACAAACCAGTACAAAATGTAGTGTCGTTATCAATGGTAATCTCAACTCTCATCTAGGCACTGAGACAGTTGTTAGGTGTGTTGCTCCACTGACTCAGACTTTGTTCAGAGTTGACTTCTTGACCCATTTTTTAATTGGGACCAAAGACTAAGTTCTGTAAAATATGTGAGCTGAATTTAACGACAGTATATAGACCCTTATGCATTAGCATGCACACACACACACACACACACACACACACATATATATATATGCACTTTTTACTCTGCACTATTGCACTTCTTGTTGGATGCTAACTGCATTTTGTTGTCTTGTACCTGTACATGATAAAAATGATAAAATGATGTTGTTAATGGTAATAAAGTTGAATAGTTGAATCTAATCTAATCTAATCTAATCTAATCTAATCTAATCTAATCTAATCTAATATCAAAACAGCTTGGCTTGCCGTTCTTGCCACACATCAAACTCTCCTGATATATAATGACCTCTAAAGTTGGTGAATTGTCAAAGACTGTATGTTTAATCGCAATTATAGATACATCCAAATAAATACACTTACAGGAACTTTCTGGGGCCCCAAAACCACCTTGTTTTAAAAATGTACTTTTTTCCATTTTCAAAGGATAATAATTTAAGATTTTGGCCTCAGCTGGAATCATTCTCTCATTTGGATCTACTGGAAACAACTGCGTCTGTGTCCTCTCCTATCGTCATGGCTCTGGAAGTTATATTTCTGGAGATATTGTACCTGTGAACCTTCCTAGACAAGATGTTTTTTGAGTATGAAAATATCACTCATGCATGCCCCATGTCGCTCTCTTGCAGCACCTTTCTTCACTTGGAACAGTGACAGTGGTTTTGGACAATAGAAGTTTAAAATTAAATGATTTTTTTTTTTTAAAAAGAGAGAGAAAAGAAAAGGCTGGCCATTTGTCCTTGATGTCTTCAATGATCATCTGTTGGTGACATCATGTCTTCTATGTGCAAAAGTCCTGCACATCAAGTCCTTGATGACTGTGCTGTCTTTCTTCTTTGATTTGGTGATTCGTTGGCATAGGTTCAGCTCTTATTCCTTACTGCTTCCTGCAGGAAAAAGTGGGAGAAACACTATGTCCTTTTTATAGGCTTTCTTTACATTCTTTGCAGGCGCTCTGTCATCAGGGTGCTTGTTTTTAAAGAAGTTGCACATGTCTCAGGAAATCTAGGACTTCTGGCCTTCAACCTGTTGTTTCCACCTTGCACTCAATACTATCCATCCAGCCAATTCAGGCGTTACAAATGAATGGAATGATAATTTCATCTGGCCATATTGTCCAATGAGGACTTCCATGAGGTAGAAAAGTGTTTGGGAAGACGCTGATGTACCGTCTATCTGGTAATCTGGCCTTGCATCACTAATGAGTTTGAGCTGTCATTCAGGCTGCTTTAATCTGTCTCGCTTTCAGTCTGAGTGGTCAGCGTAAGCACAACTGATGGAATGATTGCAACTTTGATTGTCCCCTTGTGTTGAAACAAATTCCAACACTACCATGTCCTCATTAGGCTGAAAGAGGCAGAAGCGTAAGACTTACGCATCATAGGAGGATGCTGGTGTCAGCAGCTAAAGCAACATCCAGATATAACAAAGGTCAGAATTAAATCACAGAGATAAAGATTCAGAGGAGACTTGCTGTCATGAACTATTCCCAAACATGTGTTACTGATTATGACCAAACGTCTGCCCCTTGCAGCCATCTGAGGAATGGAATCACTAAATTACTGAAAATAACACAAGATTATTATTCATTCTTTCCATACGTATGTCTCCTAAATTCATTTTGACCCTGGTAAAATGAGTAATGAGCAATCTTGTAACTTACCTTATAAATCTTTAAAAGTCATATGTAAAAGACAGTTGGGTAGTACATCATATGTAAGCTTGCATATGTTATTTCTCTGTCTTTCGACACTTAACTACTGTGGGTGAGTTTCTTTTCCAGTCAGAATCTTATACTTACCTTTTTTCCATTTTATGTGAAAGGCAGGAGCTGGAGCTCAGATGGTACAGCGTCTCCTCCATTCATGTCTCTGTTGTTTCCATTTTTATCCTTCACATGAAGCCCACTGAGACTCTGGCCAGCACAGCAAAAGAAGAAGCCAGATGAGGTCTTCCTGTCAATAAAACAGGAGCAGCGGTGTAACTGAGACATGATCAGAAAAGCACGACTGTGAGAAAAGCTCTTTTGCCTGCATTTAATATTCTGTAACTGGAATAGAATAGAACTTATTGATCCCTTTGGTGCAAACCTCAGGGAAGTTGTTGACCTCAGGGAAGTTGTTGAATTGTAGTTGTTGAATTGTTGAACTGTCATGTCACAGATAATGACAGAGGACGGATTTCTTCTTGTGTGTAGGGAAACTAACTTTAAGCCTTGTCTTTTGGTCTGCTTTGGGTGTTTTAAAAGGTGAAGCTAACTTTGGTTATTGTTGGTTGTTAACTGAATGTCACCTTATCTCTCCCACCTTGATTCAACATGCATAGTACATTGGAGAGGGACAGCAATTCAGTCTTGGACAGTTTTTTCTACCAATATACAATTACAACAATTGAACCCTGTGAAATGTCAGATGACACAAATTTGTATCATCCCTCAATAACTGTATTATTTCTACATTGACAAGTAAAGTCCTCCATGTAAATTTCCTCTTATGAGCAAAGATGAGAAGATACTTTTGAAACACCATGCTGACAATACAGGCCCCAAAGTAGGAACTTAATGCAACAAAAGTAACTATATCTGTGATCAATGAAACACAAGTCAGAAAACCTTTGATCACTGATTATAAACTGAGTACACTTGTGATTTCCAAGTCGCCTATTTACATGAACACAATTGTAAAATGTCTTGTGAACACTGGAACCTTCTCGTTTATTTTAATGTCCACATCATGGTGTGATGGTCAGATGAACTGAAAGATCTGATTGTCATACAATAAGATCATGATTTATCAAAAATATGTGAAAACACTGTCACAGCAGTAATTGGGAGGTAAAGACACAATCTAGCCCTGA